TTAGTTGACACATGTCATCGTATCCCAAATGCGTAGATCGATGCTCATGCTGTTGATCACTGGATTGTTTGGCCTAGACTCGATTATTTACAGACCGCCGCCATAGAGTTGGAATATTGCTGAGTGCAGCATTAAACAACAACCAAACAAAACTGACTATACACGTACATACCAAACCACACACTCACTCACTCATTGTTCTGCATTCATTTCAAATGGTTCGATCAGCTTTCTTTAATAAGATAAGGCTTTCTGAAACTATTTCAGCACCCACCTTCCTATCATCATTTACACGCTCCCTCCCCCCCTCCCTCCCTCACTCACCAACCAACTCTGCACAACGGATACGATGTTATGGACCAATCTGCTTTCATGAACAAGTTAATGCTCTGATTTTCTCAAACCACTTCAAAGCCAAATGAAGCTATCAATCGACGTTGCTTTTCTAAGGAATAAATTATTGCCATATAAATTATGTCCTAATCTGAATTTAATCGTCACGTTAGTATAGAGTCAGTGTGTTTTAATGTGACAATTAACAACTATAAATAGAGCACAGAGGAGGGTCGAAATGGTACCAAGACGGTCCACTCAGAATAGGTGTGTGAGTTGACATTCCATACAACAGCACGTTTTCAGCCATTTACAGCGAAATGGATTTATAGTAAACAGCTAAACAAAGCAAAATCCAATTAGTCAATTCAATCAGACACAATGAAATAACTTCTTTCAGTGGCATTTTAGAAGTTGGGAATCACAATATAGCCAAACTTTATGGATAACAACTCTTATATTTCGTCAGGCGACGTTTTGATACAGATTGTTGTACCGTTGTCAAGGAGACAAGCTGTTATCCATAAGGTTAGTCTATATTACAATCATCAAATTACAGAAGTTTGAAGGTACCTTTGCTAAATATACACTCCCACTAAACGCTGTCGACTCACACGGATACGATTCAAAGCATTCCGGCATTAGTCCGGACTAGGACAAAATGTCACTCACTCACACACGCACGCACGCACGCACGCACGCATGCACTCACATTTTTTTCTCTCACACACACACACACACACACACACACACACATTACACACACAACACACAGAGACGCACGCACGTACACACACACGTGCACCCATTCACACACACGCACGAACTCACGCACATACAAAGATTCTCTCATAAACAAACACGTACACACACAAACACACACACACAAATGCACCCATTCACACACACACACACACACACGCTCTCTCTCTCATAAGCACACGTACATACACATACATACGCGCACACAAAACAAATCGGCACGCACGCACACACACACACAAACAGACGCACGCACGCACGCACACACACATCCATGCAGGTCGCTGTGTAAGTGTTCTCATCCTGAACACATAAGGGGGTCGTACCAAACAGTTCCTCCTTGTCGTACCAAACAGACAGACAGACAGACAGACAGGTTTTATTCAGTAATGTAGGCACAGTGGCCCATAGTACAGTTGAATTTTCATTTTAACAAATATTGGTCACGTGACACGAAATTATGGTTTTACATGTGATTTAAGGATGGACATCAAATGTTTTATGAAAATGGCAGCTGATTTAATAGTGTCATCGTTATTAGAATTAAGTATTTTATATATCGTTTGTGGGGCATCATTAAAGCATTTTAGATACTTCTTTCGGCCAGCAGAGAATGCCTCACAGTCTAATAATAAGTGACGTTCGTCTTCAGTTTTACCAGAAGAACAATGAGAACATGATAAATCTTCCAATGTATTTTTATCTTTTCTATAACGCTGTATTTTTTAAGGCATGTAGAGAGATTCTAAATTTACAAAATTTCTTAAAAGGGACTTATCATTAAGGACCCTAATATATTTTCAGGTCCGAACATCGATTTACATTGTGAATAATGACTTAGAAAACTCGATGAATTTACTGATGCGTGCCAATTCTGAATATATATATCTTTTATTCGTTGCTTAAAAGTTAACAAAAACATTTTTATATCACCAACATCTTGCTTAAACCAAACATAAGAAAACCCGCTTGAAAATAACACATTTCGGACACCAGAAGCCCAAGAATACTTTCCACGTTTGTCTAGGGATAATAATAATTGATAGCTTTGATAGGGGTAGCGATAATCAGGCATTCTTATAAGTTTAATCCAGTATCTGATAGCTCTCATTTGACTCTCAATATGCATGCTATAGCGGCCTGTATCGCCAAGTACGGCTTTGTTGGCAGCAAATTTACCTACAGTAAGAAATCTTTTAAAATATGATGCATGCACATTTTCTATAGCTTCGAAATAGTTTACTCCCCAAACAGTTCCTCCTTGATAACTGTTTGACAGTTGTTCATATTTCAAACTTGGAATCCATCAATTCGAGTTGTATATGACGTTTATTTCAATATGAATAAAATAAATGATCAATTACGATGCAGGGTTCAAGCGGTTTGCACTCGCCTAAACCGGCGCTACTGCACGCCCACAGTTTAATGATGCATTCAAACAACGTTATTTCAGTGTTCAGTTTACATAGACACTGCGACGTCGCGTTGGTGAGATGTTGATATACTATGTATAAGAACTGTAAAGGGTGGAACTCATGTGGGCAAACACTTCACATGTCAAACAGTAGTCAATCATCTGAAGCAGATGCTGTTCGCGATGTCCCACACTTGACAGGGAGAGTAGCGTCCCTTTAAAGTAAGCAACGCTGTTTTGCCACTGCGAATAACTTAAAGAAATTCCACGTTGGTAAATGTGTTATGACGTGTTACCTACCGAAGATAATATGATAACTACAGGTAAATATTTTACGGCGTATTGTCTGTCACACACCTCGGAGTCTTCGTAATCCCCAAACACGTACTATATACACCTCGCAGTCTTCGTAACATCCAGTCTCTAAACACGTACTATATACACCTCGCAGTCTTCGTAACATCCAATCCCTAAACACGTACTATATACACCTCGCAGTCTTCGTAACATCCAATAACACGTCTATATAAGTCTTCGTAACATAAACACGTACTATATACACCTCGCAGTCTTCGTAACATCCAATCCCTAAACACGTACTATATACACCTCGCAGTCTTCGTAACATCCAATCCCTAAACACGTACTATATACACCTCGCAGTCTTCGTAACATCCAATCCCTAAACACGTACTATATACACCTCGCAGTCTTCGTAACATCCAATCCCTAAACACGTACTATATACACCGCAGTCTTCGTCTTCGTCTTCGTAACATCCAATCCCTAAACACGTACTATATACACCTAAACATCCACAAACACTACTATATACACCTCGCAGTCTTCGTAACATCCAATCCCTAAACACGTACTATATACACCTCGCAGTCTTCGTAACATCCAATCCCTAAACACGTACTATATACACCTCGCAGTCTTCGTAACATCCAATCCCTAAACACGTCTTATATACACCTCGCGGTCTTCGTAACATCCAATCCCTAAACACGTACTATATACACCTCGCAGTCTTCGTAACATCCAATCCCTAAACACGTACTATATACACGTCCTATAAACACCTTGCAGTTTCTTTGTATGTCAAGAAATACATAACATAACTGTTGTGACTTCCACTGAGAATACGAAATACGTCACAAGCGTGCAATGACTTATCAGCATTTTTATCATGGCATCATTTAACAGGGGTCCAACATTGGTCTAATTATGACGAGTTTGAACTACAAACTATCCAGGTTATCTAAAACATATCGTAAGGTCAGGTTTGCATTGGTCACGATCGAAATATTCCCGGGAATGTAACAAAGTATACTATTCACAATTTGCTAAGGATCAAATCATTGATTCAACAGAAAACTATGACCATACTCACTCACTCACTCACTCAGAAGAATAAATTGCCAAGCAGAAACATGTTTTTGACTTTTTTCTATAATTTCTTATATTTATTGTAAGTTGTAATAAAGAAATTAATTGGTTTAGCAGCTGTTATCCATTCACCGTACAAAATCCAAGACCCCAAAAACCCATACAACCCCACCAAGCAGAGTGGAACAACTTTCATTCGTCCTAACTTAAGACCTCAAAGACTGGACACTGTTGCACATATTCGTCATATTTTCAAGAGAGGAATACGTGGCACTAGACTAACGCTTAGTCCCTGAATATAGATAATTTTGATAGTAACAAATAAACCCATTAAATTTAAAAGGAGCCCCAGTGAGGTTGGAGATTCAGGGGAAATCCAGACTTGTTTCATTTAGGGTTTTAGCATTGCAGGTAGTGCTAGGCAGTAGGGAAAGGAATGTGGTTCAGGGGCTGTGAGACAGACTATGGTGGCACGAATGACCTATGTATGATTCGCTGTGCAGAGTTCCGTCCCTTAGGCTGGCCAGGATCCTTGATTATCGGTTCGTTTGTAGAGAAAGGGAGAAGGGGAGAGAAAGACAAAGGAAGAGAAGAGAGTGAGGATAAGACTGGAAGAGTAAGCTTGAACTGTGATAATGTTTCACACATCGTGTCAGCGGCATGACCTTTCTGGTCGACATTCTGCTAGGTCCTAATATCGTTAATTCAAAGTAATTACATCACTTACGGTACAAGCTGTGGTATTTAACTATCAAATGATCTTAATGACTAATTGCTTTCTATATTTGTATAACCTTTGCTCCACTACGCTGAACATTGTTGTAGCTCGCTCCGGCTACAATGGAGAGTTTGTTGTTGAAGTAGCAGGCTGGTTGACTCTTAACAACATAAATCCTCCATACATACCTGGGTTGTCAATGGCGAGACTACGACACTTTCACTATTCCCGTGTATACTAACACCACACAACACTATACCTGCAAGCATACCTAACACAGCTATACATAATAGCCTTGGGATATTCAGTACAATAACTGCATAATTTACGACGACAAATTTCGGGCACCTGTTTCAGCGAAATAACTCCAAATTTACTCACATTTTCACCGTTTTTCCAGAAGCAAGATGTCAAAGTCGCAACCGTTGCCGCTGTGTTGTGTTATCGCCGCCGCGACACACGTTCCTGGACTCCCACTCAGTGAATGAAGTCGACACTCTCTGACAGAACTCAACAGACGGTGTTTTGTATTGACATTGTGCTGCTGACGGGCATGACAGACTGGGGTAGACTCGAGTGAGTAAAGTAAGTAGCTATATGGATAAATGTGACAGCATGGCAGCGGTGGGACTGGGGTAGACCTTGTGTGGGTGGAGTAAGTGGCGGAATGGATAAACTTTCTCTGCGAGCCGTTGCATGGCTCAGCAGGGTAGATTAAGTGTAGCCTATGTATTGTTTGTTTTGATTGTCAGTATTCAGGTTATATGACGTCGATCTGTAATATTAGGACTACACAATCCAGTGACTGACATCATGAGCATAACTCTGTGCTGTGGATACGACGATAAGCGTCAAAATAAGGGACTGTACATAATTTATGGCTAGGGGGTGATGATGATTCTAATGGGGGGTCACCCATTTTGTTCTGGGGAGCAAGGGGGTGTCAGCAATTTTGTACACACGTACTAGGGGGGTTAGCAAATTTTGTACATAAAAATATGTTTAAAATTATGCTTAGAAATTATGGGAGGGGAGGGGGGTGTTCATTGATTTTGTACATGACATGCAATGGGGAGATGTCACTTGATTTTGTACATAGATTTTAGGGGGATCATTCACATTGTACATGCTTCTCCATAAAATCATCACCACCACCCCTAGCCATAAATTATGAACGGTCCCTAATCAGCGGGCTTTACCATGATCTCCGGTGCGGTTGGTCTGACGGAAAACATGGTTTGCTGAAGACCGCTTCTAACACGGATCCTCAGGGGTGTCGAATCAATGGAAAAGTGGCTGAATGAATAAACCTTGCCTGCGTTTTATAGCATGGTGGACTAGCGGAGTGGGTACTATTTTAAGTGGGTGGTGTAAGTGGCGGAATGGATAAACGTTCCAGTCATTTTTATTGCATGGCGGAGTGGGTACTATTTTAAGTGGGCGTTGTAAGTGGCAGAATGGATAACCGTTGCTCCGCGAATGTAACTGCGATTTTGTATTTCCCCCAGAGATAAAGCTCATGTGAAGATTCCCACACCTAAAAGACAAACGTACTTGACTTAAACGCCAGGAAAACACAGGATTACTTGAAGAGTCCTGGCGGATAATATGGAAGGCTCTTACACGTACAGTTGAAATATCTGGAGCTGGTCGGGTTGACGGAGAGACAGCCATCGAGCAATGACGTTGTTTTGCTCGGGATGATAATCTCTTTATCATATAATGTCCAATGATTAAGATGTGTTTTACAGGATAACGGCCTGGGGACTTTGGTTAATAGAAGCGCTCATAAAATCAACGCCGCGTCCTTTTGGTGATCGATTGTGATTGTCTGATAAACTATGTTCAGACTAGTAGATAAGAGGTGTGAGTATGGTTTTACGCCGCTTCAAGCATTCTTCCAGATATATCACGGACGCCTTACACAATATACCTGTGTTGGGTCATCTGATGACTGCATGACTAGTACATTACTCCGTTTATGGCAATATTCCTACAATATTGCGGAGGTGGAAACCAGAAATGGACTTCACACTGTGCACCCATGTCGGGAATCGGTATGACGAGCGATGCTTTACCCAATCTCCACCGGTAGATCGGAGGAACCGTGTTGATAGCCCATCTTCTGATGTTAAATCCACTGTCTCCCAGCGGCGGTTGGATAGCCTAGTGGTTAAAGCTTTCGCTCGTCACAACGAAGACCCGGGTTCGATTAGCCCACATGATGTCCCCCGCCGTTATATTGCTGGAATAATTGCTAAAAGCGGCGTAAAACTAAACTCATTCACTCACTTGAAAGTTAACAACTTTCACACAATAATTAAGTCGGATGTTATATTTTCCAATGAACAATATCAACAAATGCGTGTTTCATTCCAATATTTGTCTCAGAACAGTGGGATTAATGTAAAAATATAATGCTGTAAAATAAAGCCCGCCCCGAAAGTGCTTAGACAATGTTGAAAATACTGGAATCGGTCATCAGGTTACCATTTACAGTCAGTATGCCTCTTCGGGTTTGTTGTCTCCAGAGAGACGAATGTGAGCCCTCAGTGCGTAGACTTGACACCACAGACCCGTGAAGATCCGGGTAAGAATTGGTCTTCAGTAACCCATGCTTGTCGCAAGAAGTAACTAACGGGATCGGGTGGTCAGGTTCGCTGACTTGGTTGACACAAGTCATCGTATCCCAATTGTGTAGATCGATGATCACGATGTTAAGCACTTGATTGTCTGGCCTAGACTCGAATGTTTACAGACAGCCGCCATAGAGCTGGAACATTGCCGAGTGCGGCATTAAATAACATACAAAAATTCCATAGACTGTCCTGGAACAAAATTACCTTCTGTGTCGAATGTCCGGACCAAAGGCTTACAGACTCGCGACCCTCGTCAACTTTATGAGCATAGTCCTCTTTATCCTCTGTTATCGCTTTACAAACTGTCTGTCACAACCTACATAAGGGCACCATACATATATACTACTCAAAAGAAAATAAGGATGGACAGACATTAATCTCTCTAGTCTGTCGTGACACTTTGAAAGAATGCAATTGTCCTTATCTTCTGTTGAGTAGTGTAGGTTCACTTTATGATTAATGAACCGTGGCATTTATTCCAAGTTACAAATGAGGGTCCCGATGTACAAAGCGTTCGTAGCGCTACGACATACGTAAGCTTATGGTAAACTATAGAGTTACGACCGGTCGTAACTTTACGAACGCTTTGTGGATCGGGACCAAGCCTTTGATCTTTGTGCCTATAAACAATGTGATCAATGATCCCCGATCTCTCTCTCAGCTCGTGGACGATACACCTTCGACTCAACTATCATATACACTTTTCAAAAAAAGAAACGCATGGGTGATTTTGAGAATATTGGACGCATGTAGCTGCGGCAAAAACAATACAAATATACTATCTCTTTCCAAAACGTCATGTTTGTGTAACAGCTTCAGTGAAAAACGCGGCAATTTTAAATGTTTGCTTGTGTTAGAAGCGTTTGAAGAAATATTCGCCAAAACATCCCCAAGACAGCATGCAAGCAAAATGTACGTGCAGGTAAGTGGAAAGGCGTGCGGTATCGATCACTATAAAAAGGCAAACGTTGTGCTTGATTTTGTCATCATTTTTGCCCAGAAAAGAGGGAATCATCATGCCACGACCGGGTGCCGCCAATCGAAACATCGACATAGGACGCCTTGAAGCTGAGGAGTCTGCAGTTGCCCGCAGAGTTCGGAATTGGAACCTTAGTTAACTGGAGGCGAGTCTGGTTCAGTGATGAATCGCGATTTTTTCTTCTTCACCGGCGAGATGAATGACAGCGTGTTTATCGTTGGAGAAATGAACCTTTTCCCTCTAATTGCATTCGGCAGGTTGACGGATTCGGTGGAGACAGTGTCATGGTGTTGGGTGTGATATCCAGCACACAAAGATCTGATTTAATGGTGGTTCAGAGGAATTTCACAGCAAATCGGTGCATCAACGAAGTCCTTGCACGTCACATTCTTCCGATTATGGACCGACAGAGGGAGTTGTTCCAGCATGACAACGCTACTTCACATGCAGCACGCGTCACCGTCCGCTACCTTGCCAATTCAAACGTCAATGTCTTGCCATGGCCTTCTCGGTCACCAGATCTAAACAAGATAGAACACCTATGTGATAAACTCGATCGACGCGGGGAGAATGTCGCAAGAGCGACTTCGTCGACTTATCCAGTTTATGCCGACACGGTGCCGAGCAGTACTTGCTGTCAGTGGTGGCCACACAAAGTAATGACGCTTTCTTGTGGACTCAGGTAAAGGCTGTTGTTGTGTTGCTGAACTCTTTGTCTATAGACGTGTGCATTTAACACATAATTGCTCTTAAACTAACGGATCATAAGTGTTCTGGCCAGGGAAGGGCGGTGGGGTAGCCTAGTGGTTAAAGCGTTGGCTCGTCACGCCGAAGACTCGGGTTCGAATCCCCACATGGGTACAATGTGTGAAGCCCATTTCTGGTGTCCCCCGCCGTGATGTTGCTGGAATATTGCTAAAAGCGGCGTAAAACCAAACTCAGTCAGTCTTAAACTAACGCAATAAATTCTTCTAAGAATGGCTTATGCGTTTCTCTTTCTGAAGAGTGTATGTATATACATGTATATAATTTATTTAGAATGCAGGCCTCTAAGCTAATAATGCTAAGTACAAGCCATTTATGCGATAAATAATTATACATTATCCTAATTTCCATTTCAGTTACACAACACTCAAGATGTATCGAGATACACATGCTGCGATGTGAGTAATTAGTTTTACTCCGCTATTAGCAATATTTCAGCAATATCCAGAAATGGGTTTCACAATTTGTATCCACGTGGGGAATCGAACCCAGGTCTTTGGCGTGACGAGCGAACACTTTAACCACTAGGCTACTCCACCGCCTGTATGTTGTGATGTAGGCACATACGAGGATCAACGTTTTGGTGGCTGGTTTGATTGTTGTTTAAGCCGCACTCAGCAATATTCAGGTGGCCATCAGCAATATTCAGGTGGCCATCACGAGTGATCTTCATGGGTGATCTTCATGGGTACGATGTAACGGCTGCTGTATAACCTCCGTATATTTTCACAGCATTGTTTAGATGATTCTAAAAGGGTGTGAGAAGACATCAGTTACGAAGTGCCCTGCTACATTTGTCTTACCTGGAAATGCAAAATCTCAAATTTGACAATATCTTGACTGATATTTAATGTATTATATATACACAAAGAACTTAATTAAGCACGCCCTGTATTTTTGCAATGATATGTGTTCAACACATACATAAGACTTCTCGGGTGACCACGATGGCAAAACCTCGAGTTTTTCTGACCTTTATGATCCTTTGCAAAACCATGTCTGTACAAGTATGGTTCTGGAATGTTTAATGTTGAATTTATTGGTGATAATGAACATTCAAAATGTCATTTTGCGTGTCTTACACGAGTCAAGGTCAATACCGAGTGTAACCTCCATGTGCCTGTATGACAGCCAGCAGCACTCTCCTCCTCAT